ACTAATTTATTAAAGGTATCAAGATTATCGTCTAAATCTTTATACATATCAATCTTAAAGCTAAAGAATTTTTCTAGAATGAATAGTTTATTAGGCTGACTCTTAGACATATATTGTTCTTCTAATTTGTCTAACAAAGCCTTAGAATTATCAAGTTTTCTAATTTTTCTCAACACTAGATCACACAAATGAAGGATTATAGATGTATAAGCAAATTCATCAAATTCAAGTTTTTTTATCACCAGTCATAGTAGAAAGAAATTCACCAGTTATAGCCTTAGNTTCTCAATACTTGATCAGACAAATGAAGAATTATAGAGGTATACGCAAGTTCATCATATTCAAGTTTTTGATCATCAGTCATAGTAGCAGGAAATTCACCAGTTATAGCCTTGGAAACTTTCTGTTGAACTAAGACCCCTTCATTTTTTGCTGCCAAATGGAAAAATCCCATTTTCCATTAAAAGCTCAAAGTTCAAACGTTATAGTTGTCATTTGAGTTTTTTAATCAACACAAAAAAAGGTATTTTAGGTCACAGTTTAACAAAAAAGCAGAGACCAAATATTTCAGAGCCAATAATATGTCACACAAATCTCAGTGCCACACAAAAAACAGGGATGAAATATCAATTCAAACAATAGACTAACAACACAGTGAACAACATGTGAACAATTAACAGTGATTATAAGCAGATTAATAGCCACAGTGAGAAAACAAAATCAGTAGAGATATTAAACTAACCAATAATCACAATAATGCACCAATATGCTATAGTAATATTAAACAGATTAATATGGGGAGTTCCTCAAATTTCCGAGTGTTAGAATTTACCAAAATTCCGTAAGGTTCAAGACCTCTGGTTAAGGCACAATTCATAAACACGAGAAATTGAAGGGATAACATGGGAAAATAAGGGGAATTACAATATTCAGAATCAAAGAATAGCAGGAAGTGAAAGAGTTAGAAATTTATAACCAAACAGGTTCGAAGAGCTTCAACCAAAGAATTCCCAAGAGTTTTGCAGAACCATCGGTTGGATAAAACCAGGAATCAAAAAACTGTTCACAAAAAACCAGCTAATGATCACCACAGGGTCACCTTCTTCTCAAGAAGTCACCAACAGAAAACCAAGATACAAAAAATAAAGATCTAGGGTTTCACTCATTTCAAATCGATAAAAGGATGTTGCTTGAAAATTAGTTTCCCAAAGACAATAACTCGATCGAAGAATCCTTATGAACTCACAAACGCTCTAATACCACTTGTAGAGCTAAAATATCAACGAAAGTAGAAAATCGAAAACACAAAGAACATCCAAACATCAAGAACACCATGGAATCGATTCTTTTATATATAGGGCTCAGAACATAAATACTGTACTTGTCTGTACAATAATAAAACAGCCACAAAACCCAAACCCTAAGATGAATAAACACACCGCAGCTACTACAATGGACACGAGGTCAACATACTGATCTTTTCACTTAAAACCTAGAAACGAAGAATCACCCAGACTCCAAACACTCAGATTTTGTCTAAAAATTAGAAGTTTTAAGGACTACACATAGTAGAGAGAACCAGCAGAAAACAGAGAAGACGTGGCCTCCACCTTGGGCTCGGGTTGGGCTTGTATCAATTATTGAGTTATTGGGCAATGGCCAACTAAAAAAATTTGGCAAGTCGGCTTAGCCCACGTTTCATTACAGCCCCAAAAGAATTTAATACAATTGACAAGAATGGTATCACAATCCAACATCATTGTTTCTTTACTTTTACATAATTTTTGAATCACCAAATATTTCAGTGTGCCTAGAGTTTATATTATAACCCTCATTTTCAATTCAGCCTAGATTACAAAGACAATGTTTGATTGTCATTAATAAATTTTATGACAAGAAAAAAATTTCATTTTTGCCAAAAAAAAAAAAAAAGGGACGAAATAAG